AAAAAAAAAAAAAAAAAAAAAAAAAAAAAAAAAAAAAAAAAAAAAAAAAAAAAAAAAACGAAAACCAGTAAATGGTGTATAAAAGAGAAGATTTAGCTCTGAAGAAAACTCCAAACTATCCTGTTATATATAGACGAGCTATTGTGACGTCTTGTGATGTTGTTAATGAAGTCAACTGCATACCTGTATTCACTTATGGATACGATGAACCCACATCACAAGGAAGGAAATAAGCCTTAAATGTTTCATCTTGTAAGGATTGTAGTACAAAGCTTACCCTGGATGGGGTAATGTAGTGCATGTCAAAATTTGGTCTCTCGCGATCATAACTTATCCTTCATTGGTCCCTTCTGCACGGGCATTTTACATTGTGATGTTTGCAATTTACACGTGTACATATAGCTACTCTGGCTCGACAAGTGCGAAATAGTTGGTGAATACAGGCAAGGGAAAGAAAATTGCTTGTAATTACCCCCTGTTGATTGGGTGGGCGCCCTTTTTTGTATGTACAAGTATCTCGGGTGTATTGTAGGTACATATTTATTTTCCGAACCATGAATTGTACCGTTACATAGCTCGGCTCGTTCGTTCGGGCCAATGCCTCGATCGGCTCTCGTCGTCAAGGAACCGGTGATTCGCATTTCAATATTATCGCATGATAAGATTGCATTAGACGCTCGCCTTGCCTCTCTCCCCTTATTGACGAATCCATCTTCCTCCTTTCTTCGAAAGTGTATTAGGTACTGGTACAGTTGTACAACCAATCCCATGGTATAACATGTATCCCAATGGTATACGTGTACAATAAAATTCGATACCTACCTGTACACACCCTCTCCCTCTGTTCCGCTCTGTATGGCAATGCGAGTATAGAGTGGAAGTCGAGCCGAGAGAGGATCGTATACGGGAAAATTGACAGTCTGGACTCTTTTCCTCGTTTTTTTCCTCCCCTCTTTCCTTCTACGTTCTTATTTACCGTAAAATACGACTTCCTGTCTCGTTATTTGGTGCTTCGCGTATAAATATGTATCCCTCCCGGCTTCGTGCGCTTTTTTTATGTATCCTCGTTTGGCGTTGTTTTCGTGTTCTTCCACTTTGACGGGAGAGGAGAAAAAAAAATGTATACGCCCGTGCACGTATCGGCTCAAGTGTACTGTAATTTATAGTCATGGGAAACGCTTTGGGATGGACGAGCCAGAGGATGGATAATATGGTGCGAGGTAAGGAGCTTGAAATACGTAACAAATAAGTCGAAAATTATCATTTATTCGGCTGATAAACTTTTTTTTTTTTTTTTTTATTCCTTTCGCTTCACAAGTATAACATTCGTGTGCGAACATATCTTTCTTTTAAACAACGAATCAACCACCAGTGCGATTTCGTTGGCGCGATAAAACAAGAGCGCAGGGCGGGGAGGGAGCGAGAGATCAATCGCTGCAGAGCGACTTTTTTTTTTTTTTTTCTTTCTCTACGCTCCGAGTATACGTTTTGTTTACGCAAATCACAAGTATCGTGTGTGCACGCACTCGCACGCCGGATCAATTGAAAAACTTTCCACGATGCAGATAATCGTGCAACATATTTCGTACGCACACATTTGGCAAGAAGATTAATTTTTAGTTTTTTTTCTTTTCTTTTCTCTTTCTTCTCTTGAAGAAAGAAAAAAAAAACCAAACGTATCATTCACACACATACACACGGTATCTCCTTGTTTTCTCGGATATTTTTATCCCAGAACTGTGATTGATGGCTAAAAGCACATATTTATATAATCGTAGTCCTTATCAGAGTAATTATCCACTTATTTATATATTTTCGAACGATTAAAACTATTATTATTATTATTATTAATAGTATTGCTTCTCTAGTGCGTGCCTAAAACAAATTTACCTATAGGTATACGGTTCGCTCGACTTATACAATAATGCCATGTATAGTAGTATATACTATATCCTGAGTGATTTATGTTGAGCGTAGGCGTAAAAAATAATATCCTTATTTACATATGAATCCTCATTACAAATGTATTGTCCATGGAGACGATGATAATAAACTGTAACATTCGATTGGACACTCGAGTATAACATTAAAATAAAACTCATGTATTATAATAAAAGTTGATGCAAAAGTTTGACGATCACCGGTGCTGTTGTCCTTGGCACCTCCCTTTACCACCACCACTGTACAAAACAATATAGTCTTGGGCGCACTTTGTCCGTACGTAATTAAATCCATGTGGTCCAAGCGATTCGATGAGTTGGGGTTACCGCACAATGGCGAGAGGTGGCTTGTGCCGAGTCCGCCGGTGCGCCCTCAACAGCCCGGCGACCCTCCGAAAGGGTAGCAGGAGATAACAGTAGGCGCAGTAGGGCAGAGGATCCCAGTAGAGCAGCAGGGACTCGCGCTCGTCGAGCCGGTGCTGCTTGCAGGTTGGCGTGGCCGACACCACCGGAGCCCTCGCCTCGTCTCTGCCCACCAGCAGCTCGCCCACCTCGAGCGAGTGACCGAGATACGCCAGCCCGACGCCCACTCGGCAGCTAATGGCCACCAGCCGGTCCATCCGCCCGTCCAGCGCTGCCAGCCTGAAGGTAAAGTGTCCCCGGAGGCCCGGCTCGAAGCCAGCGAAGAAACGCTCCAGCCAACGCTCGACCTCGGGCTGGTGCTCCGGCAGCAGGTCGCCCCGTGACGACTCGTCCACGCGGCAGGTCACGTTGGCCAGTACCTTGCCGGCCCTTATCGTCGTGCAAGTCAAAAAGTGCACGGCCCCGTGCGGCACGAACAGCACGAGCCACGGCTGCTGTTGTTCGGGGCCGAGGCGTTGGTTGGCCACCAGCTGGAGGAACTCGGGCAGGCCGGGGGGCAGCTCGAACGATTTGGGCCGAGCCCGGAGACCCGAGGGTCCCACCGGGAAGGCGTAGCACCGGCCCCTCACGCGCAACAGTCCCCCACCCTCGTAGAGCCGAGCCGCGTCCGACAGCCGGGGCACGAGGGCGTGCTGGGGCGTGGGCAGGGATTGGGCCCGGGCGAGCCTCTGGAGTTGTTCGGGGTCCTCGAGGAGGGCGACCTCCGCCGCCCGGGGCACGAGGCACTCGCACCCGAGGGACTTTTCCAGGTGGGGTCGGGCCAGGCTGTCGAAGTAGGCGCCCCCCGGGGCCGAGGAGGACTCGGCGGCGCTCACCGGCACGTACAGCTCGACCCCCTCCCGGCGCACAATGTCCCTGAGGGCGTTGACGTACTCGGCCGCGTTGCTCGTGCGGGGCAGGGTGTGGTAGCTGCAGCAGGCGCGCGAGAACCGGGCCAGCCCGAAGGCCTGTAGCTCGCAGACGACGACGCGCTTGACCCCCGCCGCCCGGCTGAGGCCCCTGATGATGTGCACCGCTTGGACGGTGTTGGCCCCGCTCACGAGGACGCAGCGACCACCCCGGGCTGGGCTACGGTTTCTCTGCTGGTGGCGCTGTTGGCTCGTCTGGCGCGACAAGAGTAAGCTCAGCAGGGCCAGGGGCAACCGCAGGAGGAGCAGCCAGCACAGCCACAGCCACCCCAGGAGCCAGAGGAGCGGCCCGAGGATGGTGCAGGCGAGGGCACGGTGCAGGTAACCGGGTTGTCTCGTCCCTCGGCCACCTTGGTGATTCGTGTCGTGGTGGTGGTGGTGGTGGTGATGGTGGTGGTGGTGGTGGCAGTGCACCTGATGTCGTTGATTTTGGGCGAGCGGCGAGGCGAGGGCGTTCTTGTTGGGCCACAGGCCCTGGAGGCTGCAGGGGGCCTCGCTGCCACAGGCCGGCATTTCGTTGGCGATCGATGCGAATGCGATATGCGATGATGTTGTTGACGGTACTTGCTTCTGGCCACGATGGGCACACACTAGGGTCCCATCCCGGTACGACGGCGATCCATGTCCTCTCCTGATTCAACGGGGCAACGGTACAAGCAGTGGTTGCAGTAGTGACGCATCGTGCGAGGAGTTTATGTCGGTACGACCGCGTATATTACACTCGAGTTGATATGCCGTGATTGTAGGTGGGTATATGCATATTTAATAATTATTGTAATCGAGAGGAGAAGTGCACGCGGGTCACACACTGAGGCCGGTTCCCGATAATCCAGTCCTCTTAAGCCTTTCGCCGATCGGTGTGTGCTCTCGTCGCCACTCGTACAATTTTATCTCTTCCCCGGGTGCACTATGAACTGGCACCCCGCTTATCTCTGCGCGTGTTCACATATATATATATATACATATTATATTGTATACTCTCTTTCTTTGATGATAGGTATTACGCGCGGGGGCATCCCTCTCCTCTCTTGATGGTCGCGCTCGAGATGTTCGTTTGTGTTGCCACCGATCGCGACAAGCCAAATACATACATTACATCCATCCTCTCTTGCTGATAAGTTATTGAAAAAGAATAAAGTATATTTCGTACACTTACAACTCTGAAATGCGAGAAAAGAGCTTGTGGTCGTTTGGTCGGCTTTTGATTTGAATCGCCCCGCCAGGCAACGCTTAATATAGGTATTGTTGTGCCACGTGACTCAACGTAATTGTCGTCTGCTGTGGGAGCATGTTGACAAGTGAACATGTCCGAATGTAAACATTGACATCGTATACCTGCAAGGAATCAAGAAAGTGAAAAATGTCCTCGGAGGAGGAGGAGAGCGATGAGCTCATGGATTTGGAGAAGATTCGTGATCAAATAATGAGCCAGCCACTAGGTGATTACGATCGCATGCAGGTTAGCGCTTGGGAGGACGACGACAAGGACATCGAAGAAACTAGGAACGCAAAAGGTTAGGTGTACAATTTAAATGAGTGCGCTTTGCACTTACGATCTTTATGTCAATTTTGTTTTTTTTGGATTTTTTTTGTGTTTTTTTTGTGTTTTTTTTTTCACGAAAATTCACTAAATTTAAATTCCAACTGAGTAACTGTGAATTTTTACGTTTTTTCAGATCCGCTGCAAAGGGCAATGCTGACTGCCGCGGAAAATGGAGACTTGGACAAAGTAAAGTCATATTACGCTTTGGATCCTTCTCTCGTCAAATGCGCCGATAGCGATGGTTACACCCCGCTTCATAGGGCATGTTACGGCAACCACACCAAGATAATCGAGGTAAATGTTTAATTGTAACGTTAATAACTCGTGTCTAAACTGAAATTCAAACGTATTGACCAAAGACTTTTTGCATCTCAGTTTTTACTGCAAGCTGGTGCAGATATCAGTGCCAAGACGCAAGACGACTGGCAACCACTGCATTCGGCGTGCTGTTGGAACAATGTTGAATGCGCTGCTATCTTAATTGCACAAGGTGCTAATGTCAATGCCAAAAGTAAGGGAGATCAGACACCCTTGCATTTGGTTTCAGCCAGCTCCCACAACTCGCCTTGCTTGCAGCTTCTTCTCTTACACCCGGACACTGATCCGCACATCAAAAATTCCAGCGGGGATACCGCTTTTGACATTGCAAAAAGAACAGGAAAACATTATCCCTTGTTTGAAATAATTGAACCGTGTTTGAATGAAATCTAGAGACTCGGGGTACTAGGATTGTAAATAATGATTATATATTTATAGTTAAGAATTTGTATCATAATGGTATTTCATAGATTTATTTTTATACAAAATGTTTCCGTTTATAGAAGTTCGTTTTTGCATTATTTATTAAATAACCGCGCAAATACAATAAATACACTTATAAAGTAACTTTACAGTCTTCAGTGTGTATAATATATGGATGACAAGGTATTTCAGATTTGTTACACATAGGCAACATTTTATCATAGTACAAAAACATTTAATTTTTCCATGAGACATAACAAAAATGGATCTACATAAAATTATCAAGAAAAATTATAAAAATAATACTTTAGCAATGTGTTGCTTGCACGGCACATTTTAACTCGTATAAAACTGCATTTGGTATTTTTGAATAAAATCTCGTTCTCACAAAAATTACAATTATTTACATTGAAATTGAAAATCGCATTCTCCGCAAATTGAACAATCGCAAGAATAAAATTACTAATTTTAATTTTAACAAACGCATTATCTTCTTGCTTTAGTTTAGATGGTTATAACGCATTAGCTTTGATGGTTATAACATTATGACGTAGTTTTTTAAATAGCTGCTAGATTGAAAAATTTCGGTGTACCATTATGCAATTTTTTGTCACCATCCCATATAATAACCGTACAGTCCGATGTTGAAGCATAAAAATGGTGTTGATCACAGGACCAAGTCATCCCTATGATTCTTCCACATCCCTTGCCGCTGCTGATTTCGCGAACCAATCTTAGGTCCCAGCTGCTCCAAAGCCTGAAATAATTCGTTGAGTACACAAAGATATGTTTATTTCGTAAAGCGAAACATTTGCGTATGTATAATTGATCTACCTGATAATTCCATTGTCCAAGCCAGTTGCAATGACGTTAACTGAAATACCTTCAACGGCATTACTATAGCAGAGAGCGGTTATTCTTCTTTTCGAAACGACTGAACCAACAACTCTTGCGTTTACAGTAAAAACTCTCAATTCGGATTGGTTGTCTATCCTATGATCACCATCATTAATTTGGTTGGATATTTGATACACAATGGCAATATCACCCAAGGTTTCACTTATCGAAACTGAAGTGATGGGATGGCGATCTTCGCGAATGATTGATCTAACGTACGTCAAACTAAAAAAACTCGTCAAATTCATCATCTTTAGAAAACAAAATAAAAATAATTCATCTACTTCACCAACTTACCTGTTGAGATCCCATATGACCAAAATGCCCTGAGTATCTCCCGATACGGCAATTCTAAATGCTTGGGATAGTTCGATAAACGTTACTCGATTTCTATGAGCTAGCAAAACTGACGGCGAAGCCGAACTAAACTCAATTTTTCCCGTGGTAGTGACTGTACACGTGTAGACTACTATACGACCAGAGACATATCCAATCCACAGTTGCTCACAGTCTGGCGAAGATTTCATGATGGAAATCTAAAATGTTTGCAATCAGAATAGAAAAATCATTTTATTTGAAAATGTGTACGTACAGAATCTAAGCCCAAAGATCTTATCAGCGGCTTGGGTGGTTGTTCTTTCTTGGTCTTCATCCTGGCAATTCCGTCACTACTGTTCCAAGATATCAATCCCGCGCCTTGAACTGATATACTACTCAACATACTGTTGTTACCTGTTTAAATGAAAAGTACACTACTTTATATTCTCGGTAGTTTAATAACCACCCGGTAATTGCTTAATACACTGTACCTTTGGAATAGGCAAGAATTAAGGTGGTGCATGCCGGCAAACCAAAGACCTCTCCCGTCGCTAAAGGCACAAGTGAAGCGAGTGGAATTCTGTATTTATGCTTCCAGCAAATGTTTGGCTCGTTACTTGGAGCCCCAACATAATTACCCCACTTTATACCTATGAATAACGTAAAATTATAACACTCTTTATTTCAATTTTTACCATCTGGCTAATGTTAAAAATTACCTTCAACACTTTCCATTACATGAAATACATCAGAGTCAGCCGTAAGAGCGAGATTCTGTGCAGGCAATTGGTGCTGAGTTTTGAATAGCTGTGCAGGTGTCTGACCATACGTTTTAACCATCGTCTCGAAAGCTTGTCTCTCAAGAGGATCTTGTATTTGTTCGGCGTCAAATCCATAGTAGGTCTGTAAAAAATATATCATCTTGTGCTTAGGTATCGTATAGTGAATGAAAAAAAAAGTCTCCGAGAAATTGTCAAGACGCACTGCTGGATGGAAAACGTTTATAGCTTCGACTGCCGGCTTGCCTGTCTGTCTAAATCCAAATACTAAATCTATCCAATAAGGCAGAACTTCTCGAACTACGTCGGATTCGAGGGCCGCTCTATGCGCCAAAACGAAAAGTCTCGCGTCGCCACCTGACCACTTTGGTAATTCCACGTCTCCAACTGGACAACCATTTTGCCTGACTCCAAAGTCGAAACCTAATAGACGATTGTCAATTCATTTTATTTAAAACGCATTTTTTGAATTCTGGAAAAAAAACCAACCTTCATAATTCAAAAGAAACTCTGGCAAGTAAAAGAATTCAGGTATGAGTTCTTTTACATCCGTAGTTGAATCGCAACTTGTTAGACGCCAAGTCGTAGCTATAGCGTGGAACGTTCTATCGGGAATGTCAAAGCTGTCGTCTATAAAATATATGGTTTTATCTATCAATAGTTTATGTTTGAGGAGAGAAATATATATTATTTACCTTGATAATTGAGAAACATGCTGGTAAAGGGCGGAAGTCGTACTAAGAAATGTAAAACTGTTCCCGAATTACTGTAGTGAGAACCATAGTGGAAAGGCTCTTTGTTCAAAGCGATTAAATTTACGCCCTCGTTTATCGATTGCTTGAGGTACTGAAGAAAAAAATTATTATTAAGTACTCAAAAGTGTAAGACACATAAATGTAATACACCTACGTTATAATTATTGATGTAATGCTGTTCATTTTTCTTGTCTTGCACTGCCATGGGTTTCTTAAAATTCCTATAAATACTCGGATTTTCCAAATTTATTTTTTCGCTCGTATAATCGGCAAGGACGAATGGAAAGACCGGGTACTGCATTAAATCGTTGTAAGACCGTCCAGCCAATTTATTCAAACACGTAATGTATTCCCAATTGGTCAAGGTCCCATTGCGCCATAAATTCAAAGCTTCTCCCAAATCGTCGCCTGGAACGCGTCTCGGTAAATTGCACTTGGAAAGCTCCAGCACGAATTCTTCTCTTTCCTGGAAAGGACCATTATTTTTTGCCCAACTTATTTTTACCAGATAAAAGCAATAGCACAATTTGCACACCTTAGGAGAATCAAAAGCCATCAAGTAAGTTCGTCCCGTTATTAGGAATATTTCGATTGCCCTATCCTGAAGTTGGTATCTACGACGATGTAGCTCTCGTATGTCCTCCAAACGCCAAACCGTCCCACCCGCCATTGCTAGGTCCAAACCACCCAGAGCAATCTATCAAGTAAAGAAGGAAAAAAAATCAACATTCGCCATCAAGAGCAAGAATTGTGAAGAAATTTTTTTTTTTTTTTTTATAATTTACATCGGTATGGAGAGAAGCGCTGGGAGTATCGGGCACAAAGTAGAAGCAAGTTTCCCCGATCAATGCTTCGCCGGACAAGTCAGCTTGAGGCGTGACCACCTTAGCCGGTGACATTTTTTGAATTTTCTCGCTCGTGTGCAATCTCTCGATCAGCATGCTCACGCTAGCCTCTGGCTTGCCGCTGTTAAATAAAAAGGACATCGGAGGCTCTACCGCGCTCGCTTCTACGAGTGGCAGACAGATAATGCACATTATATGATTTTCGAATATATTTACCTGACGTATACAAGCGAAAATACCTGATTTGTACTTGTGCTCGGGTAAAAAGAACTTTGACGGTAGGTTCAGGTGGCACCTCTGCAGCTTCATTCGGACTCTCGCGGGACCCTCGGTTGGATCGAGCTCCCAGCTCGTCGGATACCTCTCCGGGAAGTACCAGGGGGCTCGCTCGTGAGTCAGCCTCTTGATGATATCCCGCCACTGGGCCATCACTCGGGCCTCCAGACTCCGCGTGTACTTGAATTTTTCCATCAGCAACTTGCGCTCCCTGTTTTGCTCCTCCACCACCGTTCGAGTCAAAGACATTGCGCTCTCCGTCAGTTGCTTCGCCAGAGGCTCGAATTTATTGGACATTCTGAAGACATCGAAAAACATATTAATCCCCCATGGGTCGTCGAGTGAAGTCAATCAATGATTTCTCCAGTACCTCTGAATGGCGGCCAGTTGGTTCTCAATCCAGGCGTTTCTCTCCTTCGTGAGTTCGCGCCTCAGCAGGGCCAGCTCCTCCGTCCAGGTTTCCGAGCTGTTCTGCTCGACTTTCTTGGCCAACTCCCACACTTGGAGCGCCTCCTCGAGATCCAAGCACATCCGTGCATCGGCGCACGACATCTCGTCCCGCTTCTGCAGCAAGTCCCAGAAGAATACGCTGAACTTCTGCTCGATCTGGGGATGGACCTCCAGCAGGGTGGTCAGGATCTCCTTGGTCTTTGGCTCCTCCATGAGGGTGCGCACCGCGTAGACCCTCGTGCCGTTGCTCTGGTGGGGCCCCATCAGCCAGACCATGATTCTCGCGGTGTTTTTGCGGAGCGCGGACTTGGCCGACCAGGCGTTCACCCAGTAGCTCTTCTTGTTGAGTGGCGACGAGATGCCGTGCAGGAGGATCGCAAACAGCCTCTTGCTCAGCTGGAGCTCGCTGACCGATGGCGAGTCGTCGGCCGTCGTCAGGAAATCCACGACCCGGTTCAGGGTCATCCGGAAACGGTCGTTCAGTTCACCCTTGCCGGGCTCTCGGCTCAAGCTGTTCAAGCCAATCGGCAGGTTCGAGTAGCTCAAAGAACGCGAGCCGTGGTCGCTGTGCTCGCTGGACGTCGTCAGGGCTGGTTTTTTGAAATATTTCGACGATGGTTAGGGAAAAAAAAAAATAAATAAATAAAGTTGATCAACTCGATATCAATGTTATTATGTATACCTGTCGTGTAAGAGATCGATGCAATGTACGAGGCGGTGCTCTTCAACCGGAAACCCGAGTGGCTGGAGACCTTTGAGGTCAGGATGTCGAGTTCGCCGTCAAAGAGAGCGACTTGGGCGTCCCTCACCGCCGAGACGCAGCTCTTGTTGGCTCCGCACTGCGCCCTCTCCTTGAACTCGGCATAGTTGAGTACGACGTGGAGCTCAGCCACGGTGTGCATGTGATAGTTGCCCGGGGCGTCAAGGAGTTTCGTCGCGATCGTCACCAATAGGACGTGCAAGTCCCTGTAGAGCGAGGAAGAGCCGGAAACGTGAGCCCCGTTCGTTATGCTTCTGCCAATAGATTCCATCAGGCCTTGCTCCAGTAGTACTTTTAATGCGTTGGACGTCTGAAAATTTGAAATCCGTTGATGAGAATGAAATAACAATAAATAAAATCTCCACGTTGAACTGTTTTGGCTTACCTTGGTGATGAGTTCCGTGACGAACGAGACGAGGGGCTTGGCGACGTTGACGTCGGTAGCCGCTGCCCTTGGAATCATCGCCAAGACCGGCGGCATCGCAGCAAGACCCGGTATCTTGAGGGCCAAGTTTTCGAGCGTGACGACTAGTGGCTCGCTACCCGGGTACAGCGAAATCTGATGGGCCAAGTGGACAAAGTACTTTTGCTTGATGAACTTGTTGACCAGCTCGTCGCTGGCTCGCTGCAGGTAAACCTGTATGACCTTGACGAGGGCCGTGCGAACCCTGGCGTCGGGATTGTTGGACAGAACGAGCAGCAGCTCGACGCGAAACACCTGCTTCAGTGCCGATCCGATCTGAGAGTCCGGCAAGACCCGCAGGGCGTCCCTCAGGAGCAAGAGAAGCCCTTCGCACACCAGACCCTGGCAGGCTCTCTTCTTGTCGGCCTGGCTCGGCTGTTTTTCGTTCGCCTGCTGGTTCGAGCCTTCGCTCGCTGCGATGCCCGAGTCCTCGCCGGCACTAGTGTCTTGACCCTGGGACGACGCGTCGTTTTCCCCCGCAAACTCCTCGTCCTTCGGTACCCTCGACGCGCTTCCCTTCTGGATCTGTTCATTGGCCAGGGCTTTGTTCAATTTGCTGTTCTCCAGGGTATTGATCGTTTCGCTCGACATGGAATCCTGGAGGCTCTGGAAATATCGTTTTCCTCATATATATTACTTGGGAAATTTTGGTGCAACATTTTTATCGATTTACTTGCCTTCGTCAGAGACGATCGCGTTTCTTCCAACGGTTGCAGTAGAAAGTACATGTTGTGCCTCGAGTGAGTTACGTACGTTTCCGTGGCTTTGTGGACGAGTATCAGGTAATCCGTAATCAAGACTAGATGAGAAAATTCGGGCGGGGCACCCATCAGTGCTCGTAATAATTCTACGATTGCACTGCCTGTGCTGGCGTCCAACGAGACATCGACATCTTCGTACAAAAAATGTTCCTGAGGAAAAAGAAACGTATGGTTTTAGTTTTTCAGTTGAAATTCCATTGGTTGGATTTTATTGTCACTCCTACCTTACACATAACGAGTATCGATTCGACTATCCGAGCGCGTTTCAGCTGAGACGCATTAAACTCTCTGTGCGGGTGTTGGTCCTTCAAAAGGAACAGCATCGCTTCGATCAGGAGATTCAGGGTGTTGTGCATCGCCCAAGTCCTCCACGCCTCGAGCGCACATTTCATCAGTTCGGGGTCGATGATGACCGCCTCGCTGTTCTGAGAAATCAGGTGGCTGTCGCCTTCGGCGTCCTTAACGAGGATCGGGAAATCGCAGGTGGCATCGAGCACCGACTTGAGCATGTGCTTGCCGGAGAAGCACTGCCGTGACTCCAGGACTTTAAGGAGAACGAACGCCCCACCCTCCGAGCTGTACTGGGTCAACATTTCGGAATCGCTGCGCGCCAGGTGCAACGCCACCGAGAGTGCCATCGCCTGTTCTTCCTCCTTGGAGTCAAGCTCGACAACCTGTGTTCCGACAAAATAAAAGAAATATCCTTCGTGGTTTCCCGATACGATGAACATTGTTTATTTTCATTGACATACTCTGGCGAATAAGTACAGGAAAACAGGAATCCCGCCAATCAAGCTAGCCGACGACACCAATCCCTTGTAGCTTTGACACTGCAATTTGCCAACCGCGATTGATGGCAGAGAAAGCGGAGGTTGCTGCGATACTTTGTTCTCTGGCACAGAAATCACTCGGAATCCGGGTTGACTCGGGAATAAATTTTTAACCACTGTAAATGAAAGTAGTCACCAGATGGTCATTTTAAAAGATTTGTAGAATCACGATATTTGTGTACACGTACCATTTGCACTGGCAACGGATTGGGGGTACAAGTGAACGATGTGAGGCTTCTGTGCCTCGAAACTTAGTAACAAGCTATCTTGTAAATCACTCAGGTGCACACTGGTCGCATCCATCAGCGAGTCCCAGTCGACTTTCGAGTCGGAAATACATAACTCGACAGCGTACTTCGCACCTCCGTAGGACTTTTTTTTGTTCGAGTCGAGATTTTCGTACTCTGAAATTCAACGAGTTCAAATTGAAATGTGCTAAGTAAAAAAATTCATTTTCAACAGTGTAAAAACCAACCAGTTTTCAGTTCCTGAACTCCGTTCAATGCCCCCGAGGCAATGAGCGTGGCAAAGTCTGGATTAATACTACTTAAAATACATTCGGCAAGATTCGTGTAATTAGGCCCTAGACTAGCAAGATACAAGGCCTTTTTGTTATCAAATACTGGACACCTGGGTAATAAATATATTAAAAATATTATATACACTATCTCATAAATAACTTGGAAAAAAAAAAAAAGAATAATAACTTCACACCTAAACAGCATAACGTTTCCCAAATACCAAGCACCGACAGCACTTTGGCCCACTTGGCCCACCATGACACACGTTGTTCCTGGTTTCCTGACCAGTAGTCCGTCAAAGGGCAACTGCGCTCGGATTTCTTTCCAGCCGTCCACCCAAATCGCAACTTCGACCACCGCGCTGTGCTTGTTTAGAATCGTATCTTCCAAATTAAGGGCCAAGTGATGCCAACGACCCGACGGCAACATCCCATTTATCGAAGTCTCCGAAATTGTGCGATTCGCCTTATCGTCCGGCCGCGTGAGGCGCAAAATCAATTTATCTGTGAGAGGAGAAATCGAATGAGTGGATCATTTCGTTTGGTTTGCGCACTCGCCAAAATTACCAGATTTCAAGTCGAGCCACGATTCAAGGACTAGCGATTCAAAGCCAATGGACAGCATGTGGAGTATGGAAGTGGGCATCGGCGGCGTCGAAGATCCAACAAAAACTGCAAATCATCCACACAGATCAGCACACCCGATGCATTATAACTTTTCCAAGCTTAATCAATACCTTCGCGGCTCCAGTTGTCCGACAGCAAACCCCAGTCGGAGAGGCTGTCGCTTTCGGAGCTCAAAGTCGAGTCGTAAACGACTTGTAGGCCTCGATTGCTGGTACTCATGCCTCCCCTTTCGACGCGCAGCCATAGAGAAGCCGAGCAGCCCTGCAGCCACACGGACCAAGAGATCTCGCTGCTGACGGGCAGGCAGACCGCGTGCACCGACCACGGGCTGCATACCTCTTGGGCCAGGTGCTTCCTCCGAAAGTTATTCACGAGACTCTCCGCCTTCTCCTGGTTCTTGATCTCGCCCCAGTCTATCGTAACCGAATCCTCCAAGGGCGTCGTGGGAAACGACAGTATAAAGTTCGGCTGTGGCTTGGCAGTGAGCACTAGGCGGTAGAGCGGCTGCAGCAGAGCCAAAAGCGGAGGCGCTGGAGCCTTGAAGCAGGCGAGGTACGACACCAGCTCCGCCGGAGAGATCGATCGCATGGCCAAGAGGGTGAACAACTCGAGGACTGCGTGCTGGAGTTCTGTGAGAGGGGATCGATTAAAAAAATTATTGCCCGTTTGATTGTTTTGAAAGAGCTAACTCGATGTACCTTCGTACTCGGGATTTCGATTTTCCAGGACACTCTGGAAACCCTGGAGTAGTCTCATTATCGCTCCAGTCCCAGCCAGAGCTGCGCAGCTGGAAATGCTTTCTTTGCAAATAATCGACACCCTTCTCAGCGCGTGCACGATGACTTCGACTCGTTCTTTGCCCAAGCCTCTGAAAATTTCAAGAGTGAACGGGTTAAATGTGGACCTGAGAATCCGAGGATCGTTGAGCTTACTGCTTGGCAAAGTAGATCAGAAGGTCGATGGCTAGAGAGCAAAGGGTCGGATGAGCATTGGCGTTCCCTCGGATCAGCTCGGACGCCGAGCCCAAGTGATTGACGCGCTTCAGCGTAACGTCGGGATGAGTCTTTATCGGAACTTCGACGTCAGCTTCGTAGCCGTCATCGGCGGTTATGTACTCCCCGGGACTGCTGTCATCGGCTTTCTCCCAATCCGCGGAAAAGTCCATCGTTACGGTCGACAACTAAAAGTATTTTTTTTTAAATTGGCTCTTGGAAAATAGAGAAACGTATATAGAAACGTACTCTGGTTCGATTTTGTTGAGGAACTATTTGTTCTTGACTGGGTCGGAGCATTGAAATCTGAAGCAAGATCTCCACTATGGAGCCTACGCCCTGGTTCAGTTTCACCGTGGGATTGATGAGTGCACTCGCGAGCGAATCGATGATGTCGTTTTCGTCTGAAACAATGGGAGTCGAGATTACCAAACTGTGTCAGCGTTACCGTTGATTTGAAAGCTTACTTGGAATCGAAGCCACGAGGCAGCACGTGAGTATTGCCTCGAACAACCTGGTGGCAAATTTATTTCCTCCTGAAAGATATTATTGTTACGTATGATCACTCTCCATTACTTTGATCCGTACAATTAAAAAAAAAAAAAAAAAAAAAAAAAAGTGTTACCATCGAAGCGTCCAGCAGCAATGGACGTTGCCAGTTTCTCGGTGAGTGACAACGCGTTGCCAAAGATCGGATGATCCTTGAGCTCGGAACGAAACTTGGGACTACAGAGCACGACACCGGCCACTGCCCTCCAAACTCCGCTCGCCTGGTGGAAAACGGCCCTCCTCTCCGGATTGTCTTCTCCCGCTTTAACGTCACCACCGCTGTCGCCGTGCAGGGCGTTGAGCAGGGCGTCGGTGCCCCTCTCCAAAAATTCAAACAGCGTCCTGGTCGCGGGCCTCGGCGAACTCTCGCCCTCCAGTCTCACCTCCTCGCCGAAGCTGGCGATCTTTATCTCCATAATCACGGATATTTCCAGGAGCGCGTACACGTTTTTCACAAAAGCCTGGTCCGCCAGTAGACCCAGCACCTCTTGCAGCCCGTTCGTCTCGAGGAACCTCTGGTACGTGCTGGCGTTGACGATCAGGCCCGTGATGGCCGACAGGCACGACTGGACCAGAAACTTGAGGGTCGGGGCCTCGGCTCTGCCCAGCGCGGCTCTAACCCTGACGAAGGTCGGGTAGTAGACGCGAAACAGCAGCTCCTGTTTGACGGGCGAGCCCGAGTCGGCGGTGACCCGGAGCAGATGCCTCATGGTCGCGTGGCACAACTTCTCATTGTCCGGGCTGAGAATCTCGGAGTACAGCTCCACAAAGTCCCAGGAGCGAGCATCGGCCGGAACGGCGGCACAAAGCTCGCAGCCGTGCTCGTCCTCGGGGTACGGGTAGCCACCGAGCTCCTTGAAGACGACCCGCTCGAGGAGGGCCGCGGTCGGCTGGTACGCCTGCGAGTTGGCCCTCTTGAGGAACGACACGGCGCTGGCCAGCAGCACCTTGGGGGGAAAGCAGCAGCAGGCGCCCGAGGAGCTCATCACCTTGACCAGGCGCAGCTGGAACTCGGCCCCGAAGCCCGGGCTCTCGCGCAGCAGCGCCGCCAGAGTGGCAAACAGCGCCGAGACCGAGCAGTAGCCCGAGACCGCCTCGGTGCTGCGACAGTAGTGATGGTACGGAGCCCCTAGCTCGTCCGCGTGGTGGTGGTCGCAGGTCTCCGATGGAGGGCAGCCGTGTCCACGGGTGTTCCGCGACCGTAGACGCCGGTGCCGGCTCGCCTGGGCCAGCCCGTGTCGCGCCCGCTTGAGCGCCACCACGAGCAGCCCGAGCATCTCGACGAGCTTGCGGGCACGGCTCACCGACCGGCCGGCGTCAACGCCCGGCAACCGAAGCACCAGAAGGACCGCGCGCTCGGCCAGCCGGCCACCCTGGCTGGCGTTGAACAGCCGCAGCAGCTCGAGGAAGCCACGGAGCCCTTGTCCACCATCGCCGATGTCGCCCGAAGCGCCCCCAACGCTGGCGCTCCGGCGCGGCAGCCACAGCAGGAAGCTCAGGAGACTATGGGGACGACCAAGCAAGTGAGCGGATGAAGGGACAAACAAAATAACAAAACTTGTATCACCTGTGCAGGGTGGCAAAGATGAACTCCTGCTGGAACGTCGCCTCCTCGGGGGAGAGCTCCCCGGGGGCTGTAAGTTTGGCGCAGGCGTCCTCCAGGAGCTTGATGGTCACGGGTAGCAGGCCTTCGCGGACCAGTGGGCCGGTGGGCTCGTCGGGGCCGTTGGTGCGGAGGGCCCGCTCGAGGCTGGTCAGGACGAGGCGCGCCGCCGCCGCTCGCAAGCCGGCCCGCTCGAGTCCCGAGAATGGCCCGTCCCGGGTGAATTGGAGGGACCAAAGGCTGTCCAGGGCGAACTTGATCACGAGCACGGCCGAGGTTGCGTCGGGCAGCCCCAACAGCAGCCGCAGCACCACCAGGCTCACCTCGTACCTGACGCACACGTTTTCACCACCAATTACAACCCCACCTCCTCTCTCTCTCTCTCTCTTTCCATTCGACAACCAGACGTACCTGGTGGCGGTGCGCTCGAGGACGGCCCGGCCCCGCTCGTCCAGGGCCATGAGCCACCTGCCGCGCGACGGTCCCGGGTCGAGGTGCTGGTCCAGCGGTTGGGGCGTCGGTGGCTCCCAGTCGATGGCCGTGGGCTCGTCCTCGCTGTGCTCAAAGTCCACGGTGTTCAGCCGGAGCTTGAGCGCCAGGAGCCGGCCCGCCGCGGCCTCGTCGCTCTCCGACTGCTCGGACTCGCTGCCGGACCGCACCTGCCGCTCGAGCACGGACCTGCGATTCTGCCGGCAGCGCCTCTGGCGCACCAAGAAACCATCCTTGCCCCTGTGATCCTCCTCCTCCTCCGCCCTCCTCGTCTCCCTCCTTCCTGCTGGAAAAAGGATATGATGAAAGACAGTGTCGCTCGTGCTCGACGCCTCGAGTCTTCCGAGTATTGTTACCTGGTGCGAAGCTTCGGGGCGGTAGCCTCTTCTTCTTCCTCCTTTTGCTGGTGGTGGGCCGGTCCCTGGGTGTAGCGAGGCCAAGCGAGTCGGGGTCGGCATCGTCGCGGTCGAGGCCGAGGTAGGGATTGGGCCGCGGCTCTTCCTCCCCGTGGGGATCCTGGTAGGCGAGAAGGGGGTAGAGGGCGATCAGTAGGGCGACGAGTTCCCTGGCGCAGCTGAGCTCGCGCACCCCCAGCAGGTGGAGGATCGCCAAGCAGCGCCAGCCCCTCTCGCGGGTCAAGTAGACGCGGAGCGCCTGTAGCTCCGACTCGGTGTTGCTGTGGGGGCTGTCGAGGGCTGGCGTGGCTACCGCTTGGTGGCACAGCCGGTGCACGTCGGCTAGTAGCTCGCACCCGACGAGCGTGGCCACGCCACCTTCGCCGACCGAGCTGCGGGGAATGACGGCTCGTAAATCCATATGATTACCGATTTTTTTTTTTTTTTTTTTTTTTTTACCGATTTATGGTTCTCATCGTATCTACATATGGGTTTCAGCGATTTTCAAATCATCGCGATCGAATAGATCGGCCTCGTAACAGCATATAGGCCGTTTAATGTTGTTTTCAACTAGCTGTACCAATATCACGTAATCACAAGGTGCTACCGGCGTTGGCTGAGGGTAATTACTATACAAGTGCGTGTGCGTTGTACACTAGATGCCGACGATCGGCAGAGGGATTAGGTAAGAAGCGAGTGCGATTTAATTGAGATGCAATATGCTGCGGAGGTGCTTGTGTAACGCGTTGAAAAAGAAATATATACTTGCCAGAAGGAGAGGGCATCCTTGACGTCGTGGCCTTCGTTAACCAGAGCCAGCAGCTCGGCTAGAAACACATCCAGCCAACAGGATTTCTGTGCATATATTTATAAGTTGGAGAGCATCTTTTTATTTTTTATTTTTTTATTTTATTTTTTTTTTTTTGGTCTATATACATACACGTAAATAGTGCCACCTACTGTGGTCCAATCAATGATTTTAATGGTTTTGCGTTCGCGAGTCGCAAACTGACTATTTGAGAAAAATTGTACCTTCTTACATTTTACATCGAGTGTACAATGTACCCTTTGACTCTGAACCGGTGACACATATGTAACTTTTTGGTACTGCGTATTTTTAGTAAATTTAAATTCAAGATAAGGGTTGCGAACGGAGATGAAAAAATCAAACCTCTTTTTTTTTTCTCATGGTAATTTAAATAACTCGCGGGGGTTGATTTATTGATACATCGTTTACCGTTAATTGGCTTACCTCGTAGCTTTGAGATTCCGAGCGTATAAAATGATCCCAGAGAATTTGCAGTTTGTTGATTGGACTTGAAGACATCGCCACACATTATCGGGTGGTATGCGCTACTTCCGTGGCCTCGTTTTTTTTTTTTTTTTTTTTGTTCTCCCCCTCGGCCAAAGTGTGCAAACAAACGACGAAACAAACGAAACAATCGTCACAAGTCCGTCATGTTTGTTTTGCACGCGAGTCGCGCCAAAGTGGACAAACGAGAGCCACCTGAAACTAATCGTTTATACAACGTACATTAACGCACGTCAATCAAGCTGATACGTGGAAGCTATTTTTCTTTTTTTTTTTTTTTTTTTTATCTCGCGATTCGCGCAGTTACGAAATATCGAGTAATAATTCAATAACCGATCGAATCGTACCGTATACCCGACGAACCCGCACCCAAGAAATATCAAGTAAAATCGGGGGTGCAAGCGACCAAGTGCCTACGCGCGGAGAGACACGGTAACGATGATCCGCAAGGAAAGTACAAACAAACAAACAAACAAACAACACACGGTATGTATATTATGTTATACACCTTTTCCATGTAGAGCACGTAACACAAGCCGGCTGCAGCGGATATACAAACGGTATAACACAAGAGTACAAGTAGAGCGTGAAAAAAGTGTCGCGGGGAGAGGAAAAAAAAAAAAAAAAAAAAAACAGACCTTTCTATCGCATCGGAGGTGTACTGGACGGGTGAGGACAAGGGGAGCGCGCGCGCGATAAAACGCAGATTTGCATGGTCGAACGAGTAAGTTATGATTATAATAATAATAATAACGACAAAGAATGATATGGCGATAAGGAGCGCAAAGAAAGAAGAGAGAGAGAGAGAGGGAAGCGGTGCAGGACGACGACACACACAGACGGTATACTTTAGCCGGCCCGCAAGAACAACGGTAATGATAATAATTGGCCGCGCGCGAGGAGGTGAGGACAGTGCGCTCGGTGCAGGGCAACTGTTTGCAATACAAGTAATAGGCGCTGTAACGTGCCTCCTCCGATCCAATGACCGTCTCCCTGCGTCGTCGTCGTCGTCTTGGGTGCTGCTCCCCCTGTTCCCCCGTGTGCATATCCAACATGTGTGCGTTCATAATATATACATATATAATAATGTCCACCTCCTCTACCACACCACCTTATACTTTTCCGTGTGCACTGTTGCTGCTTCTCTCTCTCTCTCTCTCTTGCTTGCTTGCTTGCGTCTTTATCTCCCCCCGTTCGGTTGTATAGGTACTGTTTTTACGGGCTCCGCAAGCTGTACACCAGCCATCGGCTCTCCGCAACAGCGCGGCTTACGTAACACATCCCCCTCTCGCACCCTTGTGTATACGTCACTATGGTGCACGCGAGCCCTTTTTTCCCCTTCCGATCCTCGCCGAGGATTCATGTCCATACCGATCATCGTAAATAACACTATATGTATATAACATATAGGTATACGTGCATTATTGCAATCGCTCGGGCTTTTATTTTTGTCTTGCGCGCTTATCGCGAAACCAGTGCAGTGTTATACATACTTTTCGCGCATCAGTCAAAGCCCGCAGTTTCCTTCATTTATTCGGCCGCTGCGATAAGTGTTATAGCCCTACATATACGCAAGAGATCGTCTTTCTTTCTTTCTTTTTTTTTTTTTTTTTTTTCTTTTGATTTATACGTGCTTATCCGAGCAGTGTGCTTGTGAAACCTCTGCAGAGATCGTTTTTTTTTTTTTTTTTTTTTTTTTTTTTTTTTTTTTTTTTTTTTTTTTTTTTTTTTT